CTTAAAGATTCTTAAGGATTCTTAAGGAATATGGATTACAAAAATACTTGAGATTTAATTAATTCATTTAATTGTGCTTCTAATTACAAAAAAACGCATTGCTTATAAACAAATGAGCTTTCCACAAAAGTATTCCAATTTTTTTTCTTTCTAGATTCTATAATGGCGAGTCTGAAAAGAGAGCTGAGCTCATTCGTTTTCTTTTCTTTTCTTTTCTTTTCTTTTCTTTTATGGTCAAAGACTCAAATTAGCTCATTGCTTATGGAAGCCAATTTTTTCTTTGTATTCAGCAAATTATTGACTACTGCTACTACATTTGTAGCTGGCAATAGAAGAAAATGTGCATGCTGGGGCAAAAGTAGTTCATGCAAGTGCTATTCTCATCTGTGTGCATTTTTCTATCTGTGTTCAAAAGCCGAAAGGCAACTTCAGAAGCGCTTTTAGAAAAATTACTTGGTCTGTTGGTCACCTTGTGTTTAAAGCTACTTTTGCGGTCACATATGGTCGGTTAATATAGTACATAATTTGAAATCCCATGCATGCATATTTAGTGCTGTATTACAGATGGATCATATATATGTACATATATACTTACTGTCAGTCTTTCTAAATTGTTTCACCTATTGCTGGTGTCACAGCATATCTCTTACAACCACTCCACAATACCATTTAAATTACACAGGATAAACCCTAAACATAATTTGATCACTTCAACTTTATCTTTGTAGTTCATTAAAAAGCAACTGGGTTAATTAACTGCTCAATTTATTAAGGTAAGGCAAACTACTAGTAAAAGGAGTGACGATCGAATTGCATAAGCCAAACCTACTTCATTTGAATATAATTGAAGTAATTAATGACATGAGTGAGACCTTAATTCTGTGATTGAGGATCGTATGATTTAGGGAAGAGATTGGATTAGTTAATTCTAGGGTAGTTTTACATAATTAACCATGTCTACTAATGAAATAGAAACCGCATGCATGCTGATGAGAAATGATATGACTAATTTGTTTTATTTTTTATATTATGATAATCTATATTATATTATTTGATGAATAATCAAATCAATTGTACAATGAAAGAAAACAACTAGAAAGAAAGAATTAGGCTAAACAAACTCCACATAAAGACTTTGATCGTCGAACTACTACTCTAGTCTTATTCTCTTTCCATGTAAAGCGGAAAGAACGAATCAGGATCCCAAGAGTTAGGTCATCAACGACTAAGTTCTGTCTTCATACTAGGGTTGGATCCACCGTTGCGCAGTGCAGTTCTACTTGAGCTTAAGAAACAATCAAACCAGAATCAAATTACGTTGAAGGCCGTTCCTTTTATGGTATCTTCATATATCTGACTACTGACAAAGGATTTGTTCAACGTTAGCAGACCATATAAAGCACGCAGAACATAAAACATAAGAAAATATTAAGCAACATTATATTACAAATTAGGTCATAAAATATTGGGTTAGCTGGGCTGCTGGAGAGAAGACTTGGACTGATGATGAGTTTATGCCTGCACCTACCACCTTTATAACGACTATACAAACCTAATAAAATTGCAGCGTGGGATATGCCAAAATCAAAGATCATATATTAAATAAATTAATCAATTATAAAATAATTTCATCTTCTTAGATTATACATATATATATTTATATAATTAATTCATATAGGAGCTAATTATCTATCTATATAAACTACTGCCTGAAGGGAAAAGATATTAAGGCATCGATCGCTTTCATTTTCCAAAACTTCCAAAGTTAATTAAACTATCAGCACAATGCCTTAAATTAACACACTATATATTCTTCCTTTAATTTCTTTCTTATAATTTAATTAATGTAGTTAGTCAACAATAGTAATATATATATCCAATTATTCATCAGTTTTTAAACTTTTCAAATAAATTTCTCTCAAGATTCAAAGCAATTTGATGACCAATGAAACAAGCAAACTATATATATATATAGTGGATAGAAATATCAAAAGAAGAAACAGAGAGTCAGTTAGTTCCCAAAGTATACTTTTTTTTGTATGTATTTATATATGGATCTCTGCTGATCTCTGACAGCGCATTTCTTTCTTATTAGTATTAGAGCAATGGTTTAGAATGAGCCAACAGGGTCCTCTCCGGATTTTTTGGTGCGGATCCTAAAGATTCGTAAATTGTGTCTGTTTATCGTAAAAATTACGGTCAATTTTGGTGTTTGTGTTTAATTTTAAATAAAAAAAATTTAAATCACATATGTTCGTTATACATTATACGGTCAGAAATCATTATAAATTTTTTTATTTAAAATTAAATATAAACAATATTTGACGAAAATTGACCGTATAATGTACAATGAACAGATGTGATTGAAGTATCTCTGGAATTCTTACAAAGAGGATCCGAAGAGCATCCTCATTCAATGGTTTATATGAAACCCATCATTTTTGTCAACCTAACAGCAAACTTGTCCCCCCATTCAATCTTGCCCTGTACTGTAAATTGATTAGAGCTTGTGTCCTTTTTGTGCAAACAAGCAACCCTATGTATGCATGATTAATTTTTGGAAGAGATTTTTAAGTTTAACCAATTTTTCTTCAACTATCCGAACTACATAGTAATACGAAAAAATTATTAATTGTAGGTTTAATTTTGGGATTATGTTAGGGAGATTAAAATTTTAAACCAAATATCACCAATAGAAAATAAGCACGTTAATTAACACTTAAGTAATAATCTAATTATCAATGTCCACATTATTTGGTTTATAAAATTTAGTCTTTCTAATATTACCTTTAATTTCGACGTTGAAAGGCAAAGAAATTGAGGTCATAGCCACTAGTTATGACTAGCTAGGCATAAATCCAACTAATTTTGTTTATAAGTAAATAAAATTAAATATTTGTTCTTGATCTTAACCATACCATAAAGTCTCAAGTCTTCTCAATAATTTTGCCTTTCTTAGACAACTGAATGGTCATCGTCACAAGTTCACATTCACGACTTGTTAACACTCAAGACTCGTGAAGAGAATATACTCGACTTATATGTGATTAGTCATTTTTTCTTATAGACAAATCACAATTTAATGTTTGTAAAATTAAACTTGTCTAAATGTGATTTAGTGAGTGATTCTTCATGTGTCGGGTTATAATTTGAAGACAAGAAAGAATTTTTCATTACATGTAATGTAAGGAAGCCAAGTTGGACACGTGATACAAATGTGCAAGTATATGCTTGACAATAAACACCAGAAAACTTTGACAAAAAAAAAAAAAAAAAAACAAACAAACACCCGAAAACTAATTCAAAATAAAGAGTTTAACAATCCCGTTTAGCTTCTAAGCTCCAAATAAAGTATTTCATAATCTTGTACACTAGCGTTGAAAGTGCCAAAAGATAGGGTTGGAAACTTGGAATGCCTAAATTAGGGTTTAGGGTTTAGGAAATGCCAAAATCGTGACAAAAAAAAAATGAGGATCCTCTATGGATTTTCTTTGTGGGATCTTGAAATCGTGTCCGTTCATCGTATATAGAGCGGTCATAAATCATTTTAAAAATTTTTATTTAAAATTAAATATGAACAACACATGATAAAAACTGACCGTATAATATATGATAAACGACCACGATATAAGAATTCCCAGAATCCTCACAAAGAAGATCTGGAGAGGATCTTCATTCCAAAAAAAAAAAAAAAGGGACAAGACCTAAAGAACCCTAGACCTAAAGACCCAAATTAGGGTTCTTACGTGCATGTGGCTAGGAATCAAGTGGGTTCAAGTAGCATAATATTTCATTCACATCCAAATACTAACAAGGCTTCATCTTTTTAGTATTTACATTCATATGCCAGTGAGGCGTGAAACATGTGAAGATCCATCACTTTCTCTCTCTGCAAATAATTTCCAATTCGTCATGTAAATCCCATTTTGCAAGGAAACTAAAGTCATTCGTCGCAAAAAGGATGGATGTGGTCCATTGCATTCCATTTGATTAACATTTAAATGTTGGTATGGAGTGAGTCCAAGGCGTTAGTTAAGGAGTCTGGTTCTCCCATAATTCAAACATTCAACATTTTGCTCAACTTGCTCTCGCAACTCACATGCATGTTTCCAAGCTTTATCTGCCCTACTTTTCGTATAGGGCAATGTCAAGAATACCAAAATTTTAAATTAAATTTTGTAAATCAAATGATGTGGTTATTGATAATTAGATTATTACTTAATATTGATTAACGTGCTTATTTTTTATTGGTGACGTATCATTTGGTTTGTAAATTTGGTTTAAAAATTTAGTCTCACTAATATTATCCTTTCGTTTAATGTTTGCAACTTCTCACACGTTACCCCTTCACATACATGTTGAGCCACACAACAGAAGAAGTCACAATTTATCATCAGTTGGGTGAGACAATTGCAGATCATTCTTAAATGATGGAAATTAAAATAACGAAATTCCATTATTTAGAATTTGTGTTGTTTCATGTCTTCTTCAAATTATATAGAAATTTGTACCATGTTTAATGTGCATATACAGTCATCAATTTACACGAGTTATTGACACATGCGCTAGTGATGGTGGTGGTGTCAGTGATAATGACATGGTGGTAGTGGTGATGAAGGTGGAGGGGATGGTGGTGGCATCAATAGTGTGCTGAAGTGGTTGCGGTGCGGCAATCTAAACAAGTTGTTGACACATACGCTAGTGATGGGGGTGGTGTCGGTGATAATGTTGGGGTTGGCAGCGGTGGTGAAGGTGGAGGGGGTGGTGGTGGCATCAGTGGTGTTAAGGTGGCGGTGGTGGCGGCAATGTGTGTGATGGTCATAAAAATGTGGTGGTAGTAGTAGAGGCGGTGATGTGTTGGTGTCGGCAGTTATGGCAATGAGAACGTCATGGTGGTAATGGCCATGGGAAGGTAGTGGTGATGATGATGATAGGTGACTCGTGGTTGGGTGATGGCAGCAGCGATGGTGAAGGCCATAAGTCTAGTCAAACCATTAAGGAAACCAGAACTTACTAAGATCACATAGTATTGCAAGCCAAACCATTAAGTTAGGTAGTTACAAGTGTATCAGCACCCTTATTTTATAGGACATAAGTCTGGATAGGACACCCTGCTGCCTATAGTAGCAACCGGAAAGTAGCATCATATGTCGGAGTGTCGGACATATAAAACTACACTAATAAAAACTTAAGCGGGCAAATAACAAGACATCCATGACTGGAAGCGAGACCAGGCCAGCTGACATGCTGCTTCATCCTCATCAGCCAGTCCCATGCCCTTCCTCCTCTTCACAGCTTCTGGAGACCTATTCATGAACGCATGGGCATTGCCGGGATAAATGTGCACCTCGTAAGGGATTCCTGACGCTTTCAGCTTCTCCTCCAAAGATTTGGCAGCCTGAAAATCAAGATCAAAATGTCAACATAAGTAATCCTTTGTTAGTACTCATTTTTAAGGATATAGTCCTCAAAGTAATTCAGAAATTTAATCATCGTAGCAGTAAAATCAGGTGTACAATCATCTTATGTGCTTAAGAATGCACACGCCTTTGCATTGCCAACGGCACAGGCAATTGTACAAGTGATAACGGTTCATGTTATGCATGCTCCTATGCACATATTGCTTTGAGTATAGAAGCACTACTCAATATATTACCAATATCTAACTTTTGTGAAGGGTTCTTCCCTTTCTAAATGGCTAAACAGCTGATACTATAAGGATTGAATGCATGAAGGTTGACAATAATTTCAGGGAAAGGTACTTAAAGAGGAAAAATATCGCCTTCATCATTTCGAAACTAATGCCATTTGACTATGTCACATGGAATTAAGTAACGGATGAAGCACAAGGCCTACTTGCACATACAGAAATGAAAAATCAAGGGAAAGCCAGATTCCCTTATCACACAACTTAATATCACAAGAGCTTCTTTTGAAAGGAAATGTCTAAACCACAAAGGATAAGTGCATTGAAATCACGGGACCATATCCCTGCATCACTTCTTGGAATGCAAAGATACAAGCCATTCATTTTGTGGATTTTCACATAGGTCTAACAAGGAGAAAATGAGGGTTCCAGAACATGAATGGCCAAAGATTATTGCGGTATCAACCATACAATGCTCACGTGCCCCCTAATACGCAGCCATTAGGGGTTAGCAACTCAGCTAAGAACAAAAAATAGCTTTATAAAAAATATAGAAGGTACCTAAAAGGCTAAAACTAATTAAGAAGAAAGATGCAGACGAAAATTCAATACCGTCACGTCTGAAAAGCCAACGAAACTATCAAGCTCTCCAAAATGAGCCTGAACAGGAGCCTTAGCTTTGGCTGGGTCTGCAAGCTCTGACGACGGCACACCATAAAATGCAACAACAGCATCAACTTCAGGGACCAAAACAGAACTTGCAATTGAGAGAGCACCACCCATGCAAAATCCAGTGACACCCACCTATTTTAATTAAACAATAGGTCAATTTAGCAAATGAGTTTACTTTCTAAAATTCATATCATAACTGATTGATATCACCATAAATTTTACGGATGTGAAGGAGGACTGATTTAATAAACATGGCAGAATCTTACCATATTTTGTGGATCGTGGCATGCTAGTAAGAACTGCATTGAGTCAAAACAGTTTCTATATATATAGAAAGAGAAAGGTCAAGTTCAAATTTTAGTACCAACTAATTTTACATAACTGTTCCATAAGAAATACAGTGGCCTAACTGTTCTGTGGTTATTTCTCTTATAATACAACAATAGGCATAAAACTTACCACAGAGTAAGGTTATGCCTTAAAAACAAATCATACAAAAATGGCAATGCATCATTGACATAACTGAGAGATTATGTAATGTATTTTTGTTTGTTTTACCGATGACAGTTTTTGTATACATGTGAGAGCCATTCGAGATTCGATGCCCATGCCTCATCATGAAAGGTCTGGTCTCGAAGATTCGGGGAGTAGTGTCTCTTCGATTTTTGAGAAAGTAATCAATGTTGGGAGTACTGGCTCTCCGAGATTCGAGGGCGGTGCCTCTTCGATTTTGGAGCAAGCAATCTTGTTGGGAGTGTTTTTCTCGAATGTGAGTAAAGGTTGGCATGTTTGCTAAGTCTACCTTGCACGAAGCACAGAGGTTGACACACACCGGGACTTTCTTACATGGCCGGTCCCAAGCCCGGATAAAGGGAGGAAGGGGGGGGCGTCAGGGTAGACAGCCGGCATTTCATGATCACGTCGAATCTTATAAAATGAATCCAGAACAAAATCGCGCTAAAGCTAGGGCGTCACCCGTAAGTGGCGCGCTGTGTGGCCCAAGCACAGTGATGATAAGTGGAGCAAGGGTCGCTGTATCTCCATCGGCAACCCGGATGCAGTGTTAAATGAGCAAGGGGGCCATAGAAACTTCTTTTCGAACGACTCCACTCAAAGTTGTTTGGGAGCATATGCTCCTATCAACTTTACCCGGGACACACAAAAAGAAGTACTTTGATCCTATTAGACGGGGAGGGTGAAAAAAGCTAGGAAAGAAGGGTAGAGTTCAAGAGAGCAAAATGGCGTTTAGGAACGTGGAATATAGGAACCTTAACGGGAAAATCTATGGAGTAGTGGGAGTTATGGTGAAGAAAATGACAATATGTGAAAGAGTGGGTTGGTAAGGCATAAGGATAAGAAAACTCAGGTGGTTATATCGGCACAAAATAGAACGAGAAACGGTATTCAATTGTGGACACAAAAAGGTAGAAAAATGTTGCATGATTGTAGAGAGGGAGGAGAGGGAATCATGGCAATCAAGATTGTAATAGGACAAGAACTTATCAATGTTGATAGTGCGTACGCACCTCAAGTAGGGTTATACGATTTGAAGGAGAAATTTTGGGAAGATCTTGGAGACTTGGTGCAAGGAAATGCTCCAGAGGAGAATTTATTATAGGAGGAGATTTGGGACACGTGGGCAGGGAGACAGGCAACTATGGAGGTTTTTCATGGTGGCCATGGTTTTTGGGGAGAAACGAGGATGGGGAAGCTATCTTGGATTTTGCAATGGCATAATATCTCTTCTTAGCCAACACCTTTCTTTAAGAAGAGAGAAGAACATGTGATCACCTACAAGAGTGGGTCCGTCAAAAATACAAATAGATTTTTCTTCTAATGAGGAAAGGGGATCGTATAATTGTAAGGATACAAAGTTATCCAGGAGAGAGCGTGGCTAATCAACATCGCTTGTTGGTGATGGATGTACATATCAAAAGAGTAAGACAAAAGAACAAGACTTTGGAAGTGCCCAGGACTAGATGGTGGAATCTAAAAGAAGAAAAACAAGTCATTTTCAAAGAGAAGGTAATCACCTAATGTGTGTGGGATAGAGGGGGAAGCTAGCCAAATGTGGGATTCCCATGGCTAGTTGTATCCGAAAAGTAGCAAAAGAGGTATTAGGAGAGTCCAAGGGCTTTGCCCCACACCAAAAGGAATCTTGGTGGTGGAAATGAGGAGGTACAAACAAAGGTGAAGGCTAAGAAGAATGTTATAAAAGCTTTATACAAGGAGAGGACCGATGAAAATGGTGAAAGGTATAGTAGAAAAGCGAAGCAAGAGGCGAAGAAAGCTGTCAGAGAAGCTAAGTTAGCGGCTTACGACGATATGTATATAACGACTAGATACCAAAGAAGGAGAGTTGGATATCTATAAACTATCTAGAGCAAGGGAAAAGAAGACAGGACTAAACCAGTGAGGTGCATCAAGGATGAGGATGGAAAGGTCTTGCTACAGAGAGACGAAGCGGTTAAAACAGATGGAGAGGTTATTTTCATAATTCTTTTAATGAAGGACATGAAATGAGTGCTTCTTTAGGGGAGTTGAGTAGTAGCTCAGAAGAGTGTAGAAACTACCTCTTTATCGTCGAATCCGGAAGAAGAAGTGGTTGTAGCTTTGAAGAAGATGAAGCATAAAAAGGCAATAAGGCCCAGACAATATACAATCGAAGTGTGGAAACTTTTGGGGAGAGACAGGTATAAAACATGGCTCACTGACCTTTTCAATAGGATTTTGAAAACGAAGAAGATGCCAAATGAGTGCGAACGAGCACTTTGGTGCCTAATCTACAAAATAAGGGCGACGTACAAAATTGCATTAACTATAGGGGTATTAAGCTAATGAGTCATACAATGAAGCTCCTGGGAGAGAGTCATTGAGCATAGATTGAGGCAAGAGACACGGGTTTCGGACAACCAATCGGGTTCATGCCAGGGCGCTCAACTCAATCTAGTCTTACGAAGATTGATGGAAAGATATAGAGATGGAAAAAGGATTTACACATGGTCTTTATAGATTTGGAAAAAGCGTATGATAGGGTCCCAAGAGACATTCTTTGGAGATTTTAGAGAAGAAAGGAGTACGAGTAGCATATATCCAAGCTATAAAGGATATGTATGAAAGGAGCAAAGACTGCCGTAAGAACTCATGAAGGACAAACGAAAGCTTTCCCATAACTGTAAGGATTACATCAAGGCTCATCTTAAGTCCTTACCTTTTGCGTTGGTAATGGATGAGTTAACAGGACTATTCAAGATGATATTCCTTGGTGTATGCTTTTCGCAGACGATATAGTGTTGATAGATGAAACTCAGGAAGGGGTAAATGCAAAGCTTAACCTTTGGAGAGAAGTGTTGGAATCTAAAGGTCTTCGCCTAAGCCGATCAAAGACAGAATATATGGAGTGCAAGTTCAGTGCAAATGGAGGCCAAAACGAGTTAGGGGTGAAGGATCGGAGATCAAGAAATAGAAAAGAAAACAAAGAGCGACCGTTTTCGTTACCTAGATCTATCTTGCAAAAGAACGGAGAATTAGATGGAGATCTCAACCATAGAATAAACAAGCTGGATGGATGAAGTGGAAGAGTGCATCCGGCGTGTTGTGTGACGCCGTATGCCACTGAATGAGGGAAAATTTTTATAGGACGCAATAAGCCGGCGATGCTGTATGGCACAGAAATGTTGGGCGTGGAAACAAACATCAACACGTACACAAAATGGGTGTAGCGGAGAATGAGGATGCTTCGTTGGTGTGTGTTGGGCACACGAGAAAGGATAAGATAGGAATGAGGATATCCGAGGTAAAGTAAGGAGTAGCCGAAATTGAAGGAAGATGAGAGAAAATGGTTACGGTGGTTTGGACATGTGCAAAGGCTACTGACGCTCCGAAGAAGATGCGACTATGGACAGAGGTTCAGGGCCGAAGGGTAGATGAAGACCTAGGAAAACTTTGGAAAGAGACTCTAAGAAAAGACTTAGAGTACTGATCTAACGAAGGACATGACACAGGATCGAGCACAATGGCGTTCTAAGATTCATATAGCCGATCCCCTCAGTGACTTGATTTCCAAGTCTCCAACCGAGAAGTTTCCTCACTCTTGAAATTAAGGGAACACTACCCCAACCTACATGCTCCACTCAGAAAGCTTCAACATACAAGCTCAACAAAAGAAAATTCAAAGAACTTAGCGAAGAAGGCTTTGGTGTATTTTAACACAATACGTTGAAATGAAGGAAAGCTTATTTATTGATAACCCCCGAAAGCTACAAATATGTACATATACATGAGTCAAATAAAAAAAACACACAAGAGGAGCCTTCACAAAGGTTTAGGAGAAGCTCCAGCAGTCGGTAGAGCCCCAGAAAGAGAAGGCCACCGAGGGGGACATGTGTTGCCTCAGTACTGGAAGAACCCTAGAAGGAGGAGGCATCAAGGTGATTTCGATCATTTTCGGAGCTTCATTAACGGTAAGCCCCAGAAGACGAAGCAATAAATGTCTTTGGAACAAACCACAAATTCTCTGATGATCAAGTAAAACCTGACCACAGTTTCCTTCATTTGGTCCATGCTTTCTCTTCATGTTTGTAGCATAGTCATGTGCGACCCGGTGCAACTGTTTATTCTCATGCTTGAGCCCTCTAATCTCCTGTTTGAGACTCACATTCACTTTCATGCCGCCAAATGATTCAACTTGGCGGGTTCGAGCAAATAGGCGTTGGGCCCATATTTAGACACAGAACCTGCACACTGAACACTGAGAGCCAGCGAATCCTTAACAGCTAACTCATCAGACCGTTGGAAAGTAGTCCCGTATTCTAGGTGGAGTGAGAAGGTCCTGGCCACCACCAGCAGCGGTCATATCAGTCACGGAATCCCCAACGGTAAGAGGACCAGTAGGGGAGACGAAGAAGATGGGCGCATATGTTAGTCTGGAGAAGGCGGGGCTGCCTCTTCAACAAGGCTCAAGTCAAAACGACGGTCGGGAGGGGCAGACATTTCAAAGGTGTTGAAGAGAGAAGAGGTCGGACAATCAAGATCTTAAAGTGCAAGAATGAAGCTTCTACTGGTGGAGATTCAAGTGTGCTTTGGAACTTAAATGCCAGCCCCTATAAAAATCTGCACGACGGACTTCAGAAATCGAAGAGGCGGCTGCTCAGAAATCGAAGAGGCGTTTGCTTTCTCAAAAGCTGGGCTGCTTAGAGATCACGAGGGTGATATCAGAATCGAAGAGGCGTTGCTTTCTCAAAAGTTTGGCTGCTCAAAAGACTACGAAGGCCGATCCTAAGAAATCAAAGAGGTGCTCGCTTTCTCAAAAGCTGGGTTCCGCCCAGAGACCACGAGGGCGATCTCAGAAATCGAAGAGGCACCTACTTTTCCAGCCTTGTCAGCACCTGTCACACGCACACTCAGCTTTTGGCGGAAATTATGGGCATTCTCTGTCGAAGAATTCTGGGGAAGTAGAAAACACATGATCTTAACTGTCAATCAAACCCATTTCCACACCAACAATAGTCATGGGTACCAACAGATAATTTGCCAAAGTTCTCTGCCAAAGTTGAGCACGTGAAGCTTGCAGCTCCCACTACATCGCTCTGACCAGAAGGGTAAAGATAGCAAAGAAACAGCACTAAACAAAAGTTAGACCCATAAAATTTTGAAGGTCTAGCTACCATATATTAACCCACAAGGATAAAGGAACAGTACCACTGCTGGATAATTGGAAAGTCCTGTGTGTCAACCTCTGTGCTTCGTGGCAAGGTAGACTAGCAAATGCCCAACCTTTACTCACAATTCGAGAAAACACTCCCAAGATTGCTTGCTCCAAAATCGAAGAGGCACCGTCTCCCGAATCTCGAGAGCCAGACCTCCCAACATGACTACTTTCTTAAAAAATCGAAGAGAGGGTAAAGGAACAGTACCATTGCTGGATAATTGGGTCCTGTGTGTCAACCTCTGTGCTTCGTGGCAAGGTAGACCTAGCAAAAATGCTCACACCTTTACTCACATTCGAGAAAACACTCCCAACAAGATTGCTTGCTCCAAAATCGAAGAGGCACCGCCTCCGAATCTCGAGAGCCAGACTCCCAACATGATACTTTTCCTCAAAAATCGAAGAGACACTACTCCCCCGAATCTTCGAGAGCAGACCCCCAGCAGATTGCTTTTCTCAAAATCGATGAGGCATCGTTCTCTGAATCAATCGAAGAGGCGCCGCTTTCTCAAAAGATGGGCTGCTCAGAGACCACGAGGGCCGATCTCAGAAATCGAAGAGCCACCTACTTTTCTAGCCTTGTCAGCACCTGTCACACACCGCACACTCAGCTTTGCAGAAATTATGGGCATTCTGTCGAAGACTTCTGGTGAAGTAGAAAGCACATGAATCTTACTGTTCAATCACCACTTTCCCACACGCAACAATAGCTCATGGGTACCACAGATAACTTTGCCAAAGTTCTTTGCCAAAGTTGAGCACGTGAAGCTTGCAGCTCCCACTACATCGCTCTGACCAAGAAAGGTAAAAGAATAGCAAAGAAACAGCACTAACAAAGTTTAGACACATAAATTTTGAAGGTCTAGCTACCATATTATTACCCACAAGGTAAAGGAACAGTACCACTGCTGGATAATTGGAAAGTCCCTGTGTGTCAACCTCTGTGCTTCGTGGCAAGGGAGACTAGCAAACATGCCCAACCTTTACTCACATTCGAGAAAACACTCCCAACAAGATTGCTTGCTCCAAAATCGAAGAGGCAGCCGTCCTCCGAATCTCGAGAGCCAGACTCCCAACATGACTACTTTCTCAAAAAGCGAAGAGAGGGTAAAGGAACAGTACCATTGCTGGATAATTGGAAAGTCCCTGTGTGTCAACCTTTGTGCTTCGTGGCAAGGTAGACTAGCAAACATGCCTAACCTTTTACTCACATTCGAGAAAACACTCCCAACAGGATTGCTTGCTCCAAAATCGAAGAGGCACCGCCCTCCGAATCTCGAGAGCCAGACTCCCAACATGATTACTTCTCAAAAATCGAAGAGACACTGCTCTCCGAATCTCGAGAGCCAGACCCCAGCATGATTGCTTTCTCAAAAATCGAAGAGGCATCGTTCTTCGAATCTCGAGAGCCAGATACCACAGACCACTTTTCAAAAGTGCTCTGACAGAGTTAAAACATGTGAAACTGGCAGCTCCCACTACCGTGCTATGACCAAGCAGGGTAAAGGAATAGCATTACTACTTGTTGTTAGGGAGACTCCTATATATGTCGACCTCCATCCCCAACGGACAGGCAGACCTGCAAAATGTTCAACCCTTCATCATATCTGAGAGGGCAACTCCCAACGAAGCCTTTCGAAATATTCAGTTTCTTCCGATATATGCCACTCTGAAAGAATATACTCAAATCATCAGGGTATCAAGCAAGAGTTACCCATATCAAATCTTTTTCCCCTGTCTTTTACCTTTGGACAAGAGACAAAGAGGAGAAAGTCAGCAACTTCGAATCCAAGTTCCAGCCAGGAACTGCTGCCTGGACCCCTTACCTGATTACTTACCTGGCATTGCTCTCGAGTACTCATCTTCAACATTTATGTTTCCAGGAAGATCCGCATCTGCTTGAGGAACAGATAGGCAAATGCGAAGGATACAAGAAGAAGCATGTGGAGACAAGCGTAACAGCACACGATCCGAACATCCAATTAACTCTGTCAAAAGCAATATCCCAATCAGCAGGGTGGAACGTAGCTAGATTGATGGACTTGTTTTTGATTGCCTCAAATTCTCATCGGGCTTATAAACTCTGGCCCCCTAAACCAGAACCTACCAGCTCAGTTCAAGAATAAGCCTGTGAAAAGTTACTGCAAAGCAAGAAAGATATCTCAGTACCAGATCTCTCTCATTTGTTCTTCTCAAACTTCATGCTCTGCAGAATTTGGGGAGAAGGTGAACGAGATCAGTCGGAGCTCTGTGCTTACCTTTGGTTTATGGTGTGCTACGGTTGGGCTCCTCGACAGTAGTCCGGCGCTTAACGAAACAACTAAGCTCAATTAATATTCCTTGTGGCTATACGCCACCAGTTGAACGATACAATGCTGGATCGAGTAAGAGTATTCAGAAATTATCTTCGTGTATGAGAAAGATAGCAAGCAAGACGCAACCTCCGAGGACTTAGAAGAAGCGTGATTACAGATGGTCTCCCACAATAAGTCCTAAGCCATCTAGCTAAAACATAGTTGCAGAGAAGGAGACCTCTCCTTCTTCGGTAATTTCACATAAGAGAAGCGTCTTTATTTGTGGACGGAATGTGGGCGAAACGTACATCCAGTTTGGCATCAACCTCCAGAACAAGCGTGTTGCTCGAGATCTAGAAAATGCCAAAGCTGTTTTTCGCTAATAGATGATCCTCAATTGGTGAAATCGGCAGCGTAGAACTGAGTTCGCTTGAAGTCTAAGATTGAATCCTGGCGCGTGTGTGGAAGTAAAGTCTGAAGCTCAAAGGGAAAATTTATAAAGAACCAATAAGGCCACGTGCGTTGTTGTGGCACAGCGAGTTGTGTTGTTATCAACTGTACAAAATGGGTGCAATGTGTTGAGGTTATCAGGTCAGAAGGGTAGGAAAGTGAGAGAGGAAGACCTAGAAAACTTGTTGTGAGAACCTTCTGAAGAAAAAGACTAAGAGTACTGGACTAAGTAGGGACATGACTAACGGAGCGTCACGTTCTAGGATGCGCTAATCCCACTTTGAGTGGGAAAAGGCTTTGTGGGAAAAGGCTTGTTGTGTTGCATGCTTGTAGTATTCATATTTCAGCATTTTTAACATTAGACACCCAGCCTCCAATCCCCAGCTATTCTATTAATACAATTGTGATAAAAAGCAAAAGAACAATCCAGAAACCATTTGCTTTTTTGCTTCAGAAGCTGCAGAAGCCCCTTTCTTTACAGCGCCGCATCAAAGACCTATCTCAAATAGCATGAAACCTACCAACCTTCCCCTCCGAGGCTAACAAAAAAATAAAGGCAAGAAGATACTTTAACATTCAAAGCGAATATAATTCGAACACACTTATAATATTAGCAGGGGGTAAGCTCAAAGAATTTACTCTGGGATAAGTGCTTTGAATCCAGGAGCAAGTTGAGAAATCTTGACAGCATGGTTCTTAATTTCATAATCCACACCCCACCACTCTTGAAGCACAACAATCCCAGGAGCGCCGTCTTTGCCAACAACATACGCATCAAATGTCTGGTCATTAGATCACAGAAGAAGAACAAATTAGAAATAAGGTTCAGAGGGAGTTACTACCAACCATTTGCATGAAGTTTGTTTCTTTCGATTACTCCGCCACAAAGAAATCCGAAAACTTGACACAAAGAGATCTCGATTCCTCCAAATACATTAAGAAAAAAAAAAACCTGACTTTGTAATGGAATAAGGGCACCAAATAAATTTCACAACTACGAATCAATTAGAGCATAACATATAGATATATGAGGAGTTTTTCCTTTACCAATCGAGGACTTGAAGTGCCACTTAGAGTACTACGGTTAGTGGTGTTCCTCTTCATTTATAATTGAGAAGTCTTAGCTTCGATTCTCTTCAAAGGCGAATTTAAACTAAATTATTACTAACCTATTGTGAAGCTAAGCCCATCCCCTTCCTTTTTAGTGTAGATACTATCGCTACTTGAAGTGTTTTTGTACTTATAGTTGATGGGGTGTTTTTTATCGCTACTTGAAGTGTTTTTGTACTTATAGTTGATGGGGTGTTTTTTATTCCTAATTTACTCATGAACACATCAAATTCCCATTTCCTATTAATCCAAATTGTCAAATAAAATTATCGCACAAAATCCGACGAAATTTAACAATAATAAACCAATGGAAAGAGTAAACAAAAAAACAGATACTCACAGTGTCGTCTCTTTGGATTTGGATTTTGTTGAAGGGGGCAGCAGAGTCGGAGGCCATGGCGCGAAATGAGGAGCGAGAAACGGCGGAGGGAGAGAGCGTCCGTGCGAGCGAGAAGGAAGTGGCGGCGGAGTTTGGGAGAGCTTTGGAGAAGAAGAAGGCTCGGGAAGCTGCTGATCGCAAACTAACAGCAGCGACAGTAGTCAGCATTCTGCTTCACCGACTGAGATTTATTTTTTAATTTTTGGGTCGTCAACTGAAACCGTCGGCATCGATGGTTTTGGTTGGGCTTTAAAAATTTCAGCAGTTTGGTACTTAGTCGCCCCGGGAAGCGATACCGTCAGGAAGTTTGTGGATTACTCTTCACTGTTGGATGGAAGGAGACCGCACTTAAACTCGCTTTCGACGTCTTTGGTGTTTTGGATTATTATTTGGGCCGACCTGATTTCGTGGCCCGTGACAAACGAAGAAGAAGAGGTATAAAGGAAAGGAACCGAATAGAGATGTTATTTTTTTAGGCACTAGCAAACGTTCTGTGTGTTGAGAAATATATATTTTATAATTTTTCAAATATTTGTTTTATTTTTTATTTTTTATGAGAGAAGTTATTTGTTTTTAACTGGTTGGCAAGCATCCAAAACAAAAAAAGTGCTGGCAGTTAGGAAAGAGAGAGGGGGGGGGGTTGAGAGGTATTGATAAAGTGATATAGTTGTGAGGTTTAGAAAAAAAAAAGTAAAAACTTGTTTGTACAAAATTAATTTAATGCCCACATTGATTTCTTTTCTAATATATTCTTTCAATTTTGTATTAAAGGATATATTAGTAATTTTATTAGTTTTTGGTTGACAAGCAGTGTTTTATTATTATGTAGTTTAGATATATTGAAAAGAAGACCAACTAGTGGTTTTCCATGGCAGTTCATTTTTTTGGTGGCTGGGAAGACTCACGGAGGCATTTTCAATCTCTCCCTACCCACCACCTTGCGATTCACCTGCGCCAGATATCGAACCCAAGATGTGCCGTGTGAGATACAAACATAAAATTCATTCCCAACCACTGAGCCACCCCGTGGTGGTTGAATAAAGATGTTATTGATGTCACGAAATAGTCATTGTACATTAGTTTTTAATATAAAATAATAAAGAGAGAAAGAAATAAAATATTACTCTTACCATATATTTAACCATTATTTATAACATCTCTCTAATAGAAATGAGATCCACATGCATTGGTAGACCCTACCTCTATTAGAAAAATGATACAAGTGGGTAAGTGTAGTTTTACATTGGAAAAAAAAAACAAAAAAATAGAGTATCTTCAAAGAAAAAAGTCAAATTTTAACTACATTTAACAATTTATGTGACACTTTGACATTTTTTTTAAGTTTTGCTATCCACCTCATATGTCAAATTACAATTTTTTTTACAAACACTATTATCTATACTAAAGGGAGGGGGCGGGTTGAGCCTCACAATGAACTAGTAATAATGTGGTTCAAATTCACCTTTGGCGGATGTTGATCCTAAAAAACTACCAAACCTACGTGGCGCACATGTCTAGTAATTAATAAGCTAACTACGTCATTCGGTTGCGTGTAAGGCGTGCCAACTCGTCAACCGAGCTCGGTCGGGGGAGTAAAATGTGTTGATGTTGCGTTGAGCGCGCTACTGACTTCTTGATCTTGCAATTGTGGCCGAGGAAGGAACACATCTCAGCCTTCGGGTTCTAGAGCCGGAAGACAAGGCTGCTAGTTTTGCGAAGTTCAATATCAGATTCGCCCTTCAATGTGCCTAATGTAGTGACCTAGTAACACCTCACTTCGCCGAGAAGGCTGATGAGATGATCTCTACCAACAAGGACTCAAAAATCCTTGTCAACCAAGACTTGGATAGATAATCAGTCGGCCGAGAAGCAGTGTTATTTATCCAAACTGAAAGTGCTCATTGATTAGCTGATTTTACGGCTCCAGTGATGTTTATCCAAATTGAAGATGTCACTCGTTGCCTTCACAGTGTTGTTTATCCAAACTAAAGATGTGTCGGCGGGAAAAAGAAAATAAAAATCTCAAAGTTGTTGAGAGGTTTCGCGTAGAGTGAGAGTTTGCACATGACAGTTTATGTGTTGAATTGGAGAGGCCTTTTAGTCGTCTGCTGCTCGGTATTTATAGAATCAAAACTCTTAGACGTGTTGTAGAATCCAAGTCGTGAACATCCAACCATCTTTGATGATAAATCACACCATCCTTTATCCCAATCTCAATTGTCGTGCCATCAGGTGAAATCACAACTGGATAAAATGGCATATGCCATCTTTTATCCCATATTTCCACGTGCATGGGTTCATAAAACAAACAGCACCTCTATTGGGTAATTATCCAAGCAAGTTACCCTGTGATGGATCAGTAACCCAATCTCCACCTCATTGACCAACCAACGATGGTCATCAGATCATCTTTATCTAAGCCAACTAACTTTGATCAAATTCCAATGATAATACGATCCAATCTTGATCTCCATTGCATTTGTATAAATGCACGGAAGATAGTCTGCCATACTCTAACTCCATTCATGATAGTCATGCTATCTATCCACGAGATTGCAACAATATTAATTCACACAACATCGTATCAAATCACCATGACTTTATCACCCAGCTGTGCTCTAGATAATTCAATATATTATTAATAGATAATTATTATGATAAAAATCACAATATTATTCCTTAATAATAACTAAAATCATCATGACTCAGTCACCTAACGGCTTAGAACTTCGTTCACTCAATAGTCTCGATCGTTCGGGTCAATTGTGTAATTTTGGGTCCAAATAGCGAGACTCGAACCTAAAACCTCTTACTTACAGGTGAAGAAGAATATCACTAAACCGTTGTAATAAGTGGCGTCAAATTACATTATTATTTTACCATAATATATATTTTTAAAAGAAAAGGTAATAAAACGGTAAAATAATATTTAATAATAAATTAAAAATGATTTTATTTTGTATAATAAATATTTTTAGAACAAAAATAATATGAATAACGATAAAAAATATTTAATAATCATATTAAATATGATTAGGTCATTATCAATTTTGGCAGCGATGATGATGGCTGTTAATCCTCATCATGCCAGATTATAATTGACTTTTCGGTTGAAAAACCCTTGTTGTTGTCTATTTTGAATTTAAACTTTTTGATATTAACCGTATTTACTCATACATTTTAGATCCCAAAATTCGATTTCCTCTGACGTAGTTTGTATAACAAACAAAAGCAAAATGGAGACTCTCAATATGATAAAATGGATGCACAATTTTTGGTTTAAGAAGAAGAAAATGAGATGGACGAAAGTCCATACACATGAATTGGTGTTATGCCGAACTCATTACCCTAGTCTCTACTTCAACTCCTCCAACGCTTCCTCAGACTCCCAAACCAAATTAAACAAATCCATTCTCGCCTAATCACCAACGGTCATCTCCTCCACAACCAAGACCCTAAACCCTCCGCTTCCAAATGGATGCCAACCCTCCTCTACAACACTTCGATCAGAGCCCATCTCGGTTTCCGCCAACCCCGCAAGACCCTCCTCCTCTTCATCCACATGCTTGCCCACCAAGCCCCTCCAAACAGCTACACCTTCCCTCCACTCATCAAAGCCGCCTCTTCTCCTCCTCATCACCCAGTCTGGGCTCCCCGCTTCATACCCAAGTCGTAAAATGAGGCGTTTTGCGCGACCCTTTAATACAGACCTCGTTTGTGAGCTTCTATGCTGAGCTTGGTAAATTGTGCGGTTCGCGTAAGGTGTTTGAGGAAATTTCTGAACCGTGTGTTGTTGCACGCAATGCAATGATTGATGGGTTTGGGAAAAATGGGGATATGGTTTCCGCTAATATTCTCTTTGAAAGTATGCCGGAGAGGGACATGGTTTCGTGGACAAGCGTTATCAATGGGTTCGGGAGAAATGGGTGTTTTACTGAGGAATTTGGTTGTTTAAGATGATGGTGAACCATGAAGATGTGATTGATTGTTTTGTGAAGCCGAATGAAGCTACCTATATTAGTGTTTTTTCTTTGTGTGCTAATTTAGATGGGTCGGGATCTATTTATTGGGGAAAGCAAATACATGGGCATGTTATTAGGAATGCGATCGAATTGACTGCATTGGTGGATCTTTACGGGAAGACTGGTTGTTTGACAAGCGCTGGATACGTGTTCAAGAAAATGGTAGTTAAAGAAGTTTGTACTTGGAATGCAATGATTTCAGCACTTTCTTTGAATGGTAGGGAGGGGGAGGCTTTGGACTTGTTTGAAAAAAATGAAGATGGAAAACTTGCAGCCTAATGAGGTCACATTTGTCGCAGTTCTCACGGCTTGTGCTCATGGAAAACTGGTGAAGTTTGGTTTGGAATTGACAATTGTTTAGATCATGTCCAATGACTTTGGGGTTGAGCCGATCATGGAACACTACGAGTGTGTGGTTGACCTCTTGGGCTGAGCAGGACTGTTTTGGGAGGCAGCTGCAGTTATAAAGAGCATGCCTTTTGAGCCCGATGCCTCTATGTTGGGAGCTATTTTAGGTTCTTGTAAGATCCATGGGACTGCTGAGATGGGAAATGAAGTTGGGAAGAAACTGCTTGAATTGCAGCCACAACATTGTGGACGATATGTTGCGAGGAAAGCAATGGTGGATGCCGGAATTCGAAAAATTTCAGCTTACAGTAAGATTGATGTAAAATAAAATAAGGGAAACTGACCATTTCCGAAATTGCTAATTAGCTAAATATTTGTGTCTTCGCCATTTGAGGTTGTATACAAAATCGGAAATTTTCAGAATTTCCATTGTTACCTTCGATTCCAATATGATTTTTGAACAATTGGCACGAAGTGAACCATTATCATAACCTTTTCTTTTGAACGACTCCAGAAGAAATGACTTGCAATCTCCATCCCTTGTGTGTAATTTGTCACTTGATAGGGAGAGGTAGGACCTCTTTAGGTAGTCCTAGTTGGGGAGTCCCCACTTTCTAAAAAAGAATATTATCTATGTTGATGTAGTGTTTGAGACGTAAACTTTTTAAGTGCGCATGCGTGATTGTGAGTCGTTAATAAATTGTGAGTCACATTTTCATAATCAAAGGTTGATAGCATCACACATTGGCGGCTATCGGAAGTTTTTCTCTAAGATGAATTCTTTTGATTCCATCCACACAATACCAACACAAAAGACATGTAGATTCAAGATTTGATTGTGTTCGTATATTAGAAGAGTTAGACTAAGTCATGTTCTCCAGTTGCCCAAAAGAATGAATGAATCAGATAAGAAGTCATCTGGTTCAGAAATCAAGTAATATGATAGAGACAAAGGAAAGGAGACCGAGGACGTACAGAAATCAAGTATTTGAAATTATCCTAAAATATTGGACTCCCATATAGTAACTCTCATATGGCTGCCTTGTCACAAATTTTATAACCATGGCCACGCAATCTGCGAGCAGCTTTTGAGTGCTCGGTGGTGTTACTGTTCACATGTTTTAATTTGAATAGACAACATGGTTGATATGTTATGGACGCAGAGTATAAATTAACAAATAAAGATATACATAAACGGTGGATATATGCTTTCTTCACAATCTTATTACAAAATAATCGTTTGCCACATACCCAGAAATATGCTTTCATCACAATATTATTAGAAAATAATCGTATGCCCCATACTCAGAAAAAAAGCAGCCCGCAGGAGTCACAAACAAACTACCTATACCAGTATAAATACGTAGATGCCTGCCAATTGACGTTGAGCCAGGCTGCTGAATCAACCTCATTACACATTGCATAAACCTAGCTAGCCACATAAATTTTCTTCAAAATTTTCTAATGGATAACCTAAACTCACATTTTTCAAATGGACTGCCGCAGTTGATTTATACATTATGAGAAAAACGACCAAGCCATCCCCATCATTCCAAAGCCAGGGCCATGAATGTTTTGGTATCATGAGTTTAATTTCATATACATCTGATCATCTGCTCTATTTAATTTTAGGGCAATTAGCAGGAATGATAATTTTTTTACATTTGGTTGCAGTAATGATCATTTTTAATAACGATGACATATTGCTCATATATCGACGATACAACGATGACATAACGACACTTGATCATTTCTACAACCAAAATGCCAAAAAATGATCCTGCTAATGGCCCTTAATTTTAACCAGTTCTTAATTAATTGATCACCAATATGTATGTCTTGTACACTAGATTCTCTGGGTTAATGACCAATGCACCCTTCATGCCGAACGTAGACTCTGATATGTTCATCAACAACCCAAACATTATGTTCCATGCAATGTGTACGTTGCTCGGATCCGAGAACGAAACCAAAAATGCGTTTGCTCAGTTTCTACAGATTTTCTATGACAGACTCAAGGATGATCCATTCGGGGATCAGATGGTAGTTTTGTACGGAAGGTACACACAACAATTAATTTTGTATCAAAGTTTATGATGGTCCATAAATCAAAGGCTCAAAGCTTATATATGAAGACCCTTTTTATGCGGGAACATGCTGTGTTCATAGACAAAAAGTTATCTATGGTTTATCCCCCCTAGTGATGCCAAAATTGGAGTAAGAAACCCTAGTATTGGTACCGGTAGTGGTAAATCAATGAATGCATGATCCTAGTTTTACTGTTTTTTGGCAGGAAAATTAGAAATGCTTATAGTACTTTTGGGAATTCAAAAGAATTCACCTAATCAGGTGGTGATGCCTTGCAAGGGAAGACAGAATGTCAAAACATGTCTCGAAATCTATTGAGGCTGCACACCGAGTTGGAGATCGTGAGTACGAATATGGCACCAAGAAAGGTGCATATTGATGAAATATTATTTAGTATCAAGAAAATTTCATCACATCAGATGAGATTTAAAAAGTTAACATAGAAGTCAGTACTCCTAAGGTTAATTGCAGCAACGCGTCTCTGAGTTTCATTTCATTTTTCAATCTCTATTTGTGTATTTGTTCTTCTGTTTGTTAATTCCTTTTCTTGCTTAGGTGGGATGGAGGTACGGATCAACAACAGAATATATCCTCACTTGGCCTTTCAATCCATAACAAAGGTTGGAAGTCTATTGTTTGCATCAGGCCCACCAGCGTTTCTAGGATGTGTACCTACAGGTGGTCCTAGTTTCATGACCCAGCTGAAGACATGGGCACCTGGCTTGCTTGAAATCCTGCTTAGTAAAAACTGTCCATATTTGGCACTCTATTTGCAGACCTCCAATTTAGGATATTCTTGGCTTACTTCTTGGTCGTTTCTTGGGTCCTACGTTGTAATTGCTGAACTCTGCTATGCTGCTCTGCCAGCTTATAGTATCATCACCAACACACATCTCTTGCCCCAGGTGGGAATATATATGTGTGTGTGTGTGTGTGTGTGTGTGTGTGTGCGCACCACATCCCTTGAGTATTTTACGCTTCATGCAAGTTAAGTATTTACTAATCCGGTCGTTATTGCTTTTGCTAAAATGGTGGTAATGCTTCATTTGTTTATACATCAAGAAAATCTGTATATATTGCTACATTATTTGGTGAACGAATTTGATGATGGCAGTGTCATCGTTGTTCAAGAGTTACTACACTTTTTAACTGCTTTAGATCCAGGCCAAGAACCAACCTACTATATACCAATTGCTCTCTTCGTCCTTTACCATATATACACTTTACCGGAGCATCTTCGAACTGGTCTATTGATCCGAGCATGGTGGAAAAACCAAAGAACGGGAACGATAAATACAATGAGTGCTTGGTTTATTTGGATTGATTGGTGTCATACTCAAACTCTTAGGTATGTGAGACAGTCTTTGAAGTTACAAAAGATCAGTCTAGTTCAAGTGATGAAGGCTCTGAAGACACTGAAGCTGGCAGATTTCCATTTGAAAAGTCTCCCATTTTCGTGCCTCCCACAACTATTTTGCTGGTGCAGTGAACCGTGCTTGCTACTGCTTTGTTGAGCATGTGGCGGCCAGCTCAAAAAGAGTTAGGGTTAGGCCAATTAGAGGTTATAAGTAGTAAGTGGTTGGTGCTATATATGCCTCAGGCCATTTCTGAAAGGGTTGTTTGGTACTGGGAAGTATGGAATTCCCCTATCCGCCAATATTTTTTTGGGTTCCCCTATCCACCATATCTAAGTCCGTTGGTTTCACGCTACTGTTCTACACCTTATGTAGCAATTAGAGTGATGCTCCTAAGCTCACTTACGACGTCAGTCATTAATGCAAGTGGGTCTCACAGCTCATCAATCGCAAAGTGTGGATAGCCGGAAATTATTGCTAGACCGCTCACAAAAATTAATATGATGGTAGTACTATCCTAGCGTTCACCAACGAAGACCAAAATATTCTAGGCTTTGGTATCTAATTTTGTAAAGTGCATGATATACTTTCAACTTGGTAAAGCCGCCTACAGAAGATATATGATATCACAATGATCACATGCTTCTAGTGTACTATATAATTAAGTATTCCCATGTGGTTATCACTGGGACTAGTGCGGAGCCACAAGAGGAAGAGATTCTCTTGCAACCATTTCATAATTTTAATGGCGTCATTGGACAAATTGATAGGATTTTTACCACCTGCAAGAGTAGGGATAAAATCAGATAAAATACTTGCAAGAGAACAAGGTAGTTGTAGTATAAACAGCTCAAGTAAGATCGTTTTCCGCAAGGATTATTTAAAAACAATTTATGAAAAACCACAATTTTAGTTAATTAATTGCAAACAAAGATTGGAAAATGTTGATTTTGAATTTAAATATAATAGAAACGAATTTTAATAAAAGTAATTTAGGGAAAGCAACTAATAACCAATTAAAAAGGAAACAAATCAAAGAGAAAAGATTTTAAGAAACAAATTTGGAAAAACACTAGGGTTACGCCGTCACCCTAACAATCCTACATAGTTATTCTAATTCCTTATGAATTACACATGCATATTTTAAAGGTTAGGTTTTCCTAAAGTATGCCCTACTTGGAATCTCCAACATAGAATGTATATGTAACATGCAATCCGTCCATGGTGTCCAGATTGAATGTAAACATGTAAGACTCATTAAGTTTTATAAAAACTTTTCTAAAAATCATATAACTCCTAAGACGTGTCGTCCATCCTAAGTAGTTACACATGTTAACCACAAGAAGCCTTAGTCAAATTTAGGAACAACCCTCCACCAAAATTGCATAAAATTACTTTTCTGAATATCCTAATGGTCACGAATCACTAAGACAAATAGATAGTTTAAAGCACAATGATTAATATCTCAAAACTTGCATGCATAAATTCATAAGAAAATTAAAAAGTGACTACATATTCTTACTAAGAATCATGGCCTCACCCTAGCAAAAGAAAATTAGCTACGCATATTCATAATTAAAATCAACATAATTGTATTAAACTACAAAAAGAATGAAAACACTTGAAAGTATAAGTCTTGAAATCTCTAAGCTTTACCCAAAGTCTTTTCCCAAAAATTGCATACGTAGAAGAGAAACCCTAGGTCTGCCAAAAGGCTTATTTATACTACTCTCAATAAAATCCTCCTAGTAAAAGGTCTTAGAATAAGACTAGGAAACTAAATAAATTGAAATAAAATATGAAATATAATCCTAAATTGACTTAGTAAATTCGCCTAAAAATCTGCACAGTCACGTTTTGGACCCAAAGCAGCTCTAAAACTGGCTCAAAATAGTTGAATTTAAAGCTTGGACTATTTTGAATACTTCTCCAGAAGGCCACGAACTCATCTGAGGTCATCTTAAGCTCCAAAAACGCAATTTAAGCCTAGAAACGTCACTTTTCAGCAATGTGCACTGCTTCTTCATTTAATTGCCAGAAAATAACAGTTTAGTAGAAAAATCCCAAATTTTGACACGAATAAGCCAAGAGACACATGAACGTCATCCAATTTGAATCACTCCAAAATTCGTTCGTTTGATCATGTTTTTCTCCAGAGTAAGTCGACTGTCCTATATTGAAAATATAAAGCAAAGTATCAAAATTCTACCAAAATAATTATCAAATTAATACTAAGAATATGGTAAAATATATAATATAATATTAACTCATCACAAATCAATATTTGTTATGTGTTAAAAAAGTGAATCACCCTGTCACGTGATGAAATGTTGCAAAAGAGAACCCCTTCACATGAGGACAAGGATACACCTGGCCCCTCTTGCAGTGTTTCAATAGTTTCGAGCTACTATGATTAATATTTGTTCAAATTTAATGTGGTAATTTTTTTTAGGAGTAATTAGGTTTTCATCCTTATTTTTACTACTCTATTGATTAAAACCTTATTACTTTTCAATTTTTGATCAAGGTCTTTTGTATTAATAATATCATTAATTATTTCAATAATAAAATATTTTTTATTTCTAAATATATTCATTTAATATTAAAAATATTACAATTAGTATATTTATATTTATGGCTAAATTTTTTATCATATATTTTTATTTTTAGTTGGTACCCATTTTTAATTTGCAACCCTTTTTTAATTTGTACCAATTTTCCTTTCAGTTTTAATTTGTACCCATATATTAATTTCTTTTTGTGCCCATATTTTTTAAAGTTTTATTTGTATTGTACCCATATTTTTTTATTTATTTGTACCCATTTTTATTTTTGCTAAATGTACCCATTTTGAAGAATGTACCCATGTTTTGATACAATAATTTTTTGGTTATTTTGTATGAATGTACCCATGTTTACACACACACACACAATAGTATATTTATATTTTAATATTTTTAATCACACAAATTATGGTTTTTTATTTAAAATCTCATTACTATAAACAACTATAAATTTTAATTTTTAATTTAAAAAATATAGTAACGTACATAGAAATAAATTATCAATTAATTTCAGGGACTTGGATCAAAAATTGAAAACCAACAAGATTTCAGTCAAAGACTATTCATAACTAGGGACCGCATCCAAAGTCTCCCTTTTTTTTATAATACTTGCATTTTCTCTTGAGAGAATGAGCTTATTTCACCACTTGCAAATAATGTAACCGTAGAAGAAAGTTTATAACCAGAACCATTAAATTTCTTAAGCCAGGTTTGGGAGTGAGGTGCTTAAAAAAAAAAGCACCCATGAAAAAAAGCTGTGAGGGTTTTAGGTGTTTGGTAAACTGAAAAAAAAGGGCTTATTTTGGAAGCTGCTGAGAATAAGTTGAAATGAAAGGAAAAAGCTGAAGCTGCTATTTGCAGCTTTGGAAAACTGGTTTTTTTTCAAAGCACACGGAGCTACAGTGCTCCTTTAATGAAAAGACCCACTATCAGACTGCTTTTTTTTCCAAAAGCACTTTTACAAAAAAATTTACCAAACACTCTGTTGATTTATTTCACAGCCGCTTATTCTCACAGCACAGCCGCTTATTCTCACAGCAGTTTTTTTTTAAAGCACAGCAATACCAAACCAGCTCTTAGTCTTCATTTGAAGGTCATTCCTAAAAAAACAAACTAATCAGAGTCATCAAAATGTATCAACTAGTTCATTTAGGCTTACCTATCCCCGCAGGTAGTTTGGGTTTATGGATCGGTAACAGAAGATGCCTAACCGGGCTCAAGATTTCATGCGACGGGATCGAATTCAATCTTATACATGCCAGAGCCACCAGGATTTGTGCGCACTGCACTCTCAAGTTCACTTGTTTTGTTGACCCAAAGGAAGAGATGGGTCGAAATTTTGTTCAGCAAATACACTCCCATATTTGCCACCCTTAATGCTAAACTCCAGTTCAGGCAGTGCTTGGCCTACACATGGCTGCTAATATGGGCCCTACACTGCATTCCTGGGGCTATGCTATGCTCTTCTCCCAGCTTATTGCATCATTACCAACTCAGGTTTCTTGCCTAAGGTACTATTAATTAGGAGGAGTAGCAACAAAACGTGGTTTATTTTAGGATTAGAGACATTTCTAGTCCCAAATTTAGGTTATTATGTTCTCTCAAAATGGCTTCTTTTGTATTTTGATTCGGATAGTCTTGGTCGTTTTTGTCTAAATAGGCGTTCATGTGGTAGGGTTTCAATCCCTTAATGCACTTATAACATCCAGTTACGTTAAAACGACCAAAACCATTAACGTATTAAACATAAATTTTCAATGCTCCAATGTGTGTTTTGGATGATAAATTATTAAGCAAGCATAAATTTGAATGTCCAATATGCAGGTGGAAGAGCCAGCTCTCATAATGATTGCTGCTGTGTCTCTTCTTAGAAATATAGCCACACTGTGTTTCTACCTTCGCTCAGGCCAATCAATCACTGCATGGTGGAATTTTCTGAGAATGGGCTTCACAGGAAAAATATCCTCGGCAACTTCTTTGTTACTTGGATTCGTAACTTTTCTTTTCAAGCTTTTAGGAATATCCCTGGTCACATTTGAAGTCACACAGAAAGACCAGCCTGCCCATTCTTGTGACTACGATGAAGTGAATGCTCGTAGGTTTGTGAATCTCCAATATTTGTGCCAGCCACAGCCCTCTTGTTTCTGCAATTGACAGCGCTGGCTATGAGCTTGTTTGGGATGCAACCACTGGCTCATGGTTCACAAGGCACAGGACTTGGGGAAATAATGTGCAGTGTTTGGTGGTGATTGATAGATTAGTAATAGGACACATGTAGCCTTCCTTATCATTTCATGAGACATTACATCCATTGGATTAATAACATGACAGATGAATGACACGTGTCTTACTACTAATCTATTACTAAACCATCAGTGATATGCTTTTGGCCATTTGTCAAAGGGCTGTTTGGGAAGGGAAAGTATGGAATTGTCCAATATATTCAAGTCAGATATCTTGGCCTTGCTTTTCATATTGTATTCTCTTCTCCTCTAAGAGCTAGATAAGCTTGGCTTTTACCATATTTTTATCTTCCTTGGAGTAAGAGCTAGCTTATTGAACAAAAAAGATTGGCCTATTGAGGCAGATGATAAACCTGTTGGAAGTTCAAATAAAAACATGATGTCAATGTTTGTGCGCTGCTTGATGTCAATACTTGTGTGTGCTGCCAGCTGCTTTTCTATGAGTAAAGTTGCTGCAATGTGTGTGTGTGAAAAGTCTAAAGTTACTACAAAGTGAGTGTGAAAGGATGTAGAGACTTTGAACACTTTTATTTTGTTAGGTATGTGTTAATCTTTGTTTGCTTTAAACAATAGTTGTTGAATATGACTTTTGTATGGATAGCATTAGAAAGTCTTTATAAAATCATATTCATTCCATCCACAAGGAATCAAAGTGTTATCACCGAAGCTTGCTCTCCCTCTTTTATTTCTTTTGTCCAATTTTATTGAGAGTGAAAGTGGGAGGTGTGATAGAGTTAGTAAATTTATCACCCATAAATTTTGGTATTGAGTTAGTAAACTTTGAAAACCAACAAAACCAGTAAGAATTTAAGGTATGTTTACTTTAATAATGGATTTGTTATCAAGTTATTTGGACCTGATTTTATAATATCGGCCCGGGCAATCGAGATCGTTAAATAAGTGGTTTCTAAACCGTTGGATTTCATATTTTTCTAGATATTACTATTGAATTTTCGTAGTAATTATCTTATGTAATATATTTATGGAAGCAACAACGGCAAAGTTCGAATTAATTGAGGTTATATGAAATACCGTGCAGCATTAGAGTTCTATCTTGCATACAGAACCACATAGAACAATTCCACAAGATATAATGGGACGATCAGCACATTGAGATGCTGTGTGGAGTAGTCAAAATAAAATGATGTGATGCCATGATTTTTATTACGCATGTGTGGATAAAAGTTATGAAGTGATGATGGAATATTCTTGGCAAGGTGCCAAGAATCTAGTCAAGCAAATTGCATCAGATTGGAACATGTGAGCTTTGAAATAGGAGAAAAATGAGATAATGATGGAGATTTTAAATTGGTTGGATAATTGCATGATGAGTCTGATCCACGCCAAGAAATTATCACGCAATACTCGGCAGCACATCCCTAAGGATACGGAGGGAAGACATCGAAACAAGCCTCCAATTCAACACATAAATTACCTTGCGCATTCTCTCGCTCTACGCGAAACCTCTCAACAATCTTGAGATTTTTATTTTTTCTCTTTTCGTCGACGCACCTTCAATTTGGATAAATAGCACTGTAAAAGCAACCGGCGAACATCTTCAGTTCAATGTTTAGACCTGATTTTACGATATCGGCCCGGGCAATCGAGATCATTAAATAAGTGGTTTCTAAACCGTTGGATTTCATATTTTTCTAGATATTACTATTGAATTTTTGTAGTAATTATCTTATGAAATATATTTATGGAAGCAACAACAGCAAAATTCGAATTAATTGAGGTTATGTGAAATACCGTGCAGCATTAGAGTTCTATCTTGCATACAGAACCACATAGAACAATTCCACATGGGACGATCAGCACGTTGAGATGCCGTGTGGAGTAGTCAAAATAAAGTGATGTGATGCCATGATTTTTATTACGCATGTGTGGATAAAAATTATGAAATGATGATGGAATATTCTTGGCAAGGTGCCAAGAATCTAGTCAAGCAAATTGTATCAGATTGGAACATGTGGGCTTTGAAAAAGGAGAAAAGGAGATAATGATGGAGATTTTAAATTGGTTGGATAATTGCATGATGCGTCTGATCCACGCCAAGAAATTATCACGCAATACTCGGCAGCACATCCCTATGGATAGGGAGGGAAGACATCGAAACAAGCCTTCAATTCAACACACAAATTATCTTGTGCATTCTCTCGCTATACGCGAAACCTCTCAACAACCTTGAGATTTTTGCTTTTTCTCTTTTCGCCGATGCACATTCAGTTTGGATAAATAGCACTGTGAAGGCAACCAACGAACATCTTCAGTTTGGATAAACAGCACTGTTGCTGTAGAATCAGCCGACCGTGGAGCATTTTCAGTTTGGATAAACAGCACTGCGACAGGGCCGACTGGTTACCTATCAAAGTTTCGGTCGAGAAGGATTTTTTAATCCTTATCGGCAGAGGTCATCTTGTTAGTCTTCTCGGCGAAGCGAAGTGTTACAAGTTATTATACTCGGCACGTTGAAAGCCGAGTCGTTTATGATTGGTTATTCGCAAGTAGGTTTTAGAGTTCGGCGTTCTGACGGCCGAACCACTTTCACAATCAAGACGTATATTCGTTTTGAATACATGTGTCCTTATACTCTAGTGTCGATTCGGCGTGCTTATACTCTTACGAATATAATCACAGTGACCGAATCTGACACCGACGCTTTGTGAACTTCGCAGAACTAGTAGCTTTGTCTTCAAGCTCTAGAACCTGAAGGCCGAGGCGTGTTCCTTTCTCGATCGCAGTCGCACGATCGAGAAGTCAGCCGCACATCCAACTCAACATCAACCAATTTTACTCCTCGGCCGAGCTCGGCCGACGAGTTGGTATGCCCCGCCCCGCATACAACCGAAGGACGTAGTTAGCTTACTAATTACTCAGCCTGCACGCCACGTAGATTTACTAGTTTTTAGAGTCAACACAAGTAATCAAATATATGGCACCAGTTGTTTATGATCATACCCAATCGGACCAATCATTCATATCTCGTGGGAATTATACAAACTACTCTAACCTATAGTTTACATTGCCCTTTTTATGAAAGCAAATCTAATCATACCTTCTTCTTTTTTTCGCGCTAATCAAATTTTACAAATACTTCTTATTTGCTACGCACCTGTTTGGGGTGGGCTTCTCTACTAACCCCGAGACTGAAAGCATGCTTATTATGATCACACCATAAAGTGTAACAGATCTCTCACCCTCTCAATTTATCCTTTATATGCAGATAATTACTTTGAATTCTGTTTAATTAAATAATACGCTGCAAGGCTCGACCATAAAATATGCTGCAACATCTTGCCACTAAATTAATTAAGGGATGTGATATCCACACACTTTATTTTACTTCTCACACACCTTTTTAATTTTCAACCGTCGGATCGAATGAATTGAAGAAGATTCACGGAAAGAAATTATTAAGGGATGTGTGAGAAGTAAAATGGAGTGTGTGGATAACACACCCCTCAATTAAAGGTTTTTTTTAGTCAAAATGGTCATTGAGATTTGCATAATACATAACTTTGATCTTTGAGATTGAAAATCAATAGAAGTGGTCCATAAGATTGTCCACCATCCATTATTTTAGTCATTTCATTAAAAAACTCTGTTAAGTTGAGGATATTTTTAGCCAAAATAGTTTGTAAAATTTGTATAACACATAACTTTGGTCTCTAATATTTGCATAACACATAACTTCGGTCCTTGAGATTGTCCACTATCTATCATTTTGGTCATTCCGTTAAAAAACTCAGAGATCACTTAATGGAGTTTTTAATGGTAGGACCAGGTGGACAATCTCAGGGACCACTTCTATTGATTTCTAATCTCAGGAACCAAAGTTATGTGTTATGCAAATCTCATGGACCATTTTGACTAAAAAATCTTAATTAAATCACTGTAATTTTCTTCTTGAAAAAATTTCACGATGTCATATCAGATGAACAATGTATTTGGACTAAACCTATATCTGTTTCAAGCATACGTAGACAATTTAAACTTGAAAAGTACCAATAAGAATGGGGACGCAACATGTGTGGATGTACTGTACAGTCTGTGCTGCACATGAACAATTCAATCAGATAGTGTAATGTAAACAAACTTAGAAGGCGGAACAAAGGAAAAAAAAAAGAAGAGAAACTTAGAAGGCGAATAATTTCTAATTTTAATTTGCATAGTCTAATCAGGCAATTTTCAAGACAAAACGGTAAACTCTTATGACAATTAAGGGTATGATGAACAATTTTAATTAGAAGGCGAATAATTTCTAACTTTAATTTGGCAATTTTTGCTACGTAGTACCACAATTTAGTGATATTCCTTTTCACTTCTAAGTAAAAAGTTTTAGTTCGATTCTCGCTAAAGGCGAATTTGAACCACATTATTGCTAACCCATTGTGATGCTAAACTCACTCCTCTACCCCTATAATGTAAGTAATATCGTTTATTTAGACAAATTTTAAGCCAAAACAATAAAATCTTTTGGCAATTATGGCTAACTTCAACCGAAGGAGGGTAAGAGGGCTCATTTTAGCCCTCTGGGCCTCCAAGAAATTAATATTTTAATGAACAGTGCATGACCATATTTCTTACAATCTCTAACCGAGGGCCAAATATAGCTCAGTCACAAAAAACCATCTCCAACCGAAGGCCAAAGAGCCATAAGGCCAAATATAATTTATTATTTAAATTTAAAAAAATTTGGCAGAAAAAAAATTCAAATCCAACTGCTAGCTGACATTAGCTAGCCTTTGGATTTAATTTAATTTTTTTGCTATAAATAGGGTGGATATTGGGCTATAAATACCGTGGGTTTTCGGGCATGATAGGGTCATTAGACTGCATGCATTGGAATTGGAAGAACTGTCCCACCGGATGGCAAGGAGGCTTTAGCGGAAGGTTAAGAAAGCTAACTGTTGTGTTAAAGATGGTTGCCTCGTATGACATATGAATCTGGGATGATTTCTTTGGAGTCTCTGGATCCCAATATGTCATTATACTTCTTGGGCATTCACCCCTCTTTAATAACCTAACGGAAGGTAAATCACCTCAACTTAACTGCTACATCAACGGGCGTCAGTACAATATGGGGTATTACATGGCATATGACATCTACCCAAAGTGGCCGACACTTGTCCAAGCAATTCCAAACCTTGCGAATGACGCCGAAAAGTGGTTTACCTTACAACAAGAGGCATACCGAAAAGATGTTGAAAGAACTTTCAGTATTCTACAAGCACGATGGAAGATCATCAAGAAACCGGCAAGAAGGTGGAGTTGAGAAAATTTGGACTCCCCCATGATGTCTTGCATCATGTTGATGCACAAAACCGGAAGGATCTTGGAACAACGTAAATCCGACCGTGAATCTGCAAGAAAGTAAAGAACACAAGATGTATCGTGGTTCACCCCAATGTTTGGGCTACGTCTACACTGAGTGAGGCCTCGTAATGTGAGAGTGAGGCTCTGAGGATCTCAGGCCTAAGAATTGGCCTCTTCTAATGAGGAGAGTGAGGAGTCCTTTTATAGAATAAAGGCTATTCACTTATTACATATTTGCCCCTTCATTTATTACATAATTACATTTGAGTCTCCTGAGTATTTATACGAGATCTAAATACGGAGGCCCTAAGTATGGTACAAACAGTAGTCCCCCAAGTCTTCAGTCAAGAGAGTCTTTTGGCTAGAGACTTGAAATTCAGTCCATGTGTGGGCCGAAGTAACTAGATGTCGTCTAGAACTGATACTCGATATGAGGTGGTGCCTAATCTGAAATGATGCTCAACTAAAAGTAGCACATGTTACGAGGCTGCTCTGCTTGTGGCTTATGTTGCCTTGGTTGGCTCGGCTTGTGGCGTTGAAGGTGAGGGAGTCCCTTTTATAGAGTAAGAGCTCGCTCCTCAATACATAAATGATGGGCTAGAGTCGATGCTCGCGGCGAGACGGTTGCTTCGCAGGCGGCGATGTTCTCTAATGATGGTGAGGGAGTCCCTTTTATAGAATAAGGGCTCGCTCCTCAATACATAAGTGATGGGTTAGGAGTGATGCTCGCAGCGAGCCGGTTGCTCAGCAGATGGCGATTCTCTCTAATGAAGGTGAGGCAGTCCTTTTTATAAAATAAGGGCTCGCTCCTCAGTACATGAATAATGGGTTAGGAGTGATGCTCGCGGCGAGTCGGTTGCTCAGCAGGCGGCGATGCTCTCTAATGATGGTGAGGGAGTGCCTTTTATAAAATGAGGGCTCGCTCCTCAATACATGAATAATGGATGCTCTCTAATGAAAGTGAGGGAGTCCATTTTATAGAATAATGACTCGTTCCTCAATACATAAATAATGGGCTAAGTCCCCCAAATATTTTTCATGAGGCCTAGTTGAGGCCTAATATATGGTACATAATGTAGTCCCCAAGTTTTCGGTCAATAGAGACTGTTGGCTGGAGACTTCAAATTGAATCCATGTATGGGCCGAAGTGGCGGTTGTTCGGAGGCGTATTTGTATACCCTGCACTGAAGCTTTGTAAGTGAAGTTTTGCAAGTGAAGCTTTTGAAGCTGAAGCTTTGTAAATGAAGCTTTTGAAGCTAGAGCTCTGTAAATGAAGCTTTCTGACATGAGTGATGCTCATGAATGTTTATGTTGATTGACATGAGTGATGCTCATGGATGTTGACATGATTCTGCTCATGAATGTTGACATGAGTGATGTTCATGAATGTTGAATGATGGTCATGAATGTTTATATGTGATTGACATGAGTGATGCTCATGAATGTTTATGTATGATTGACATGAGTGATGCTCATGTATAATTTTGAAGTACTGTACGTACTTTTGATCACCTGGTTGGTGATAATAATGGTAGGCTGCCGAATAATTTTGGAGTACTGGGCGTACTTTTGATCACCTGGTTGGTGATAATAGCGGTAGGCTGCCGAATAATTTTGGAGTACTGGGCGTATTTTTGATCACCTGGTTGGTGGTAATAGAGGGTCTGGCTCTTTTGGGTATATGGGCATTCGCCCTTCACATAACATTCCAGCCCATTATTTTGGGCTTGCCGTTTTTTTTTAATTATTACCCTCTGATGGGGTTTATACAGATGTCTCCGAAAGATAAGAAAAATAAATTACATCATTCAAAAATAAAATCGACCCTCTGCTCAATGGGTCACGCCCATAATTCCCTTTTTTTGCATGCCATCACCACCGTAATTATATCTGCTTCTTTTTATCTTCTTTTGCTTTTGCAGTGTCCCCCATGTGCTCTCGCAGAGGAAAGCCTTCCTTTATTCCTTACTTTTGCATATGGGTGTTTATTCCTTACTTTTGCATATAGACGATTAACCACTTAGGTTTACAAACATAACCCTAGTTACATGCTCACTGTAGCTTACATGATTAAAGCTAAAGTGAACAGTTTACCCATGTGAAGGAATCTGAATAATTTCTTCACTTTTGGTGTCGGCATCGCCAGGTCTCCTTGTATTCTGAGTGCGTGACTTTTTTTTCTAAAGTGGCATTGGATTCGCCAACTTTAGCATCCTCATGACTCTCGAGGTATTCAAAAGCAAAGCCTCCCTGTAACATGTATGTGATAGTCTATGTGGGTGGTCAGGAAATCCAGCGGGAGGGGATACTGAAAAGTGATCTAGCATTAGAAAAGGATCCAGGTTCCTCAACTCGCAGCTTCCAATGGCTTTCCTGGCAATAACACCATTGCCTTCGTGTTGGGTCTTGGCAAGGACCTTCTTAACGACCATTCTTGGGGGAAGAAAATGGAGGAAATGATTGGTGATCGGAATTAGACCCATTAGCTACTTGTGATTAAACCAGTGCATCCAATTCAGCTTCATTGCCTTCACTGCTTGCTTCTTACTTTCTCTATCTCTAGATCTTTGAATGTATTGGATGTTAAGCTGAAATTTTCTTGGAAAAGTCAGGCGGGATTTTCCCGAAAAATCGCTGTAAAACCGAGAGCAAGAGCTGCACTGCAGCTTCTCCAAATCCATCTCGAAAGCCGACCTAAGATCTGTCGGCGTGTAAACGCAACATGTGGATGTGGGGAGGTTGATTGTGCTGATCACCTGATATGAGATTCAGGGAAAGGCCTAGTGGCACCGTGGTTTTCGTCTAAGGCCCGGAGACTTATGACGAAGCTTCTCGACCCAAACCCGAGTACCCGAATCACCATTTCCAAGGTCATGGACTCCTCCTGGTTCAAGAAATCAATTCCTAAAGTCATATTGACGAAACAGAAGCAGGAGTTCGACGAGCCAAGCGACAGGATCACGTCGAAGCAGACAGAGACACTGAATGCATTTCACATAATCTTGTTGTCGGATGGGTTTGATCTGTCGCCCCTCTTCGAAGAGAAGAAGCAGGAGGAGAGGGAGGAGCTGCGGTTCGTGACAACGCTGTAAGCGAGCAGCGTGATTTCAAAGCTGAATGAGGTGGCGGCGGTGGCGAAGTTCAGGATAAAGAAGAGTGACTCGATGGTAAGGCTACAGGGGCAGGAGAGCGGGCGGAAAGGGAAGCTAGCGATAGCGGAAGAGATATTTGCCATGGCGCCGTCGTTTTTGGTGGTGAAGGTGAAGAAGGACAATGGTGATACGTTGGAGGTGGGGCGACCTCGATTTGTCGAAAAGCGTGCTTGCCGCCTCTTTGGATGACCGAATATTAGATCCACTGCTAGCTGAAGATGAACCTGTTGCTGGATTACATTTGCTTGCCAAAAAGAATTTGGAATTAGCTTCGAGGTCTTGCACTTTACTTACATGTACAACAAAAGAAAATGCTAGCATAAGATCATTTGAATTGACTAAACTAGCATCAGATGTTACTTTTACTGGATCTTAGGGAACACGGAGTGTGGGTGTCGGTGCTTGGAGTGTCGATAGCTTTGTGATTTTGTAGATTCACGGTAGAGGTGAAAAGATGAAAGAGAACCGACACAACTTTTCGTATTGATTCCCACAGACGGCGCCAAATGTTGATGCACAAAACCGGAGGGGTCTTGGAACAACGTAAATCCGACCGTGAATCTGCAAGAAAGTAAAGAACACAAGATGTATCGTGGTTCACCCCAATGTTTGGGCTACGTCCACACTGATATTGTATTTCTCTGTTTGTGAGAGGATTGTGAGGGAGAAAGAGCTTCTCTATGAGGATGATAGCTCTGAATATGGGAGTGAGGCCTCGTAATGTGAGAGTGAGGCTCTGGGGATCTCAGGCCTAAAAATTGGCCTCTTCTAATGAGGAGAGTGAGGAGTCCTTTTATAGCATAAGGGCTCCTCACTTATTACATATTTGCCCCTTCATTTATTACATAATTACATTTGAGTCCCTCGAGTATTTATGCTAGATCTATATACGGATGCCCTAAGTATGGTACAAACACATCATATTACACAACATGATTGTGGAGGATGAGCGATATAGGTATATTGATGGAGAGTCTGATGACGACCAAAAGGATCCAAATAGGTCAATAAGGGATCGTGCAAAAATATATGATGGCCCTAATTTGTCTTTGAATCCAAGAATTGGTAGTATCTCTTTAAATGAGTACATAAGGCATTATAGGATGATACATTCCCATGCCACAAACAAGTACCTACAACAGGATCTTGTTGCACATCTTTGGGCCAAAAGAAGCATGAAGTAGACGTTTAAGTTTTATGTTGTTAAATGTTTTTTTTATGTTGTATAATTTTTATGTTGTTTAATGTTATTTAATATTGTTTCATGTTGTTTCATGTTACTTAATTTAATTTAATGTTGTTTAATGGCTTAGGAAGTTATAGAATTTTTTTTTTTTAAAAAGGGCTAGCTGACTTCTTACCGTTGGAATTCAAATTGTGGACCGACCTGGGGCCAGCTGGCTGGTTGGTTTGGGCCGGCCAGTTGGCCTTTTGACCATTTTTTGTTCAGTAGGGCCCACGAGCCCTTTGACTTGGCTCTCGGTTGGAGACGGTTTTCGAGCTATTTTCGATCCTCTGACCATCTGAATCATTCGATCGGAGATGACCTAAGGGTATGAAGTTAGTTTTCACCAACCTTTCTATCCGATTTAAAGATTAACTCTTATGATCATCATGATTTCTCGTAATTCAGATAAGATTCGAACTATCACTTCACCGAAAGTCTGCCTAAAGAGATATAAAAAGGTAGACTATATAATACACACACACACATATATATATATATATATATATATATATATATATATATATATTTATACATATATATGGACATCGACATTCAAAAATGAATGATGTTGACGTCGGCCATCTATATATATTATACTTATTTAAACCGCCTTGGTCCTGACCTCTATCCACAACTCCTATCTTTAGCTAGCTAATGGAAAATCCTCAACATCTTCTTTGTGAAAAAACTCCCCTTAAAATCAATGCACTGCAGAAAACCCTAGAAATTGCAATTCTGTTCTTCTTCATCTGTGTCCTTGTTTATCGTCTCCTATCTCTCAGGGACCATGGTTTTGTCTGGCTTCTTGCCTTCACATGTGAGTCTTGGTTTGCTTTCAATTGGGTTCTTACTCTTATCACCCAATGGACTCCTGTTGAATACAAAACATACCCTCACAACCTCTTGCAACAGTATGTCATTCATGTTCTTTTTATTACGTACTTTTAAATAAAGTAAACTTGATTAAGTTTAGTACACTTTGTTGGGCTAGGTCCATTCACTTTTCTATCATCTTTTTATTAAATTGAAATAAATGTCATCTCTTATTAATAGGTTTATCTTTTACTCAATTTTTATGATTAAATATAAGAATTAAATGTTATTCTGCTTTTTACTGCTCTTAGTTTATATCAATGTTTTAAAAATCGGCCTAGACGGCCGCTTAGGTGCTGGGCATAGGTGTGCAGATCTGATTAGGTGTGAATTGTTAAGAAAAATCGGGAAGTTGTTAGGCGTCCGCCTAGGCGCTCTTAGGCGCCATGGGTTGTCTAGGCGGCGGTCTAGGCAGAGTGAAATGGTTTCCTGGGAAGAAATTCCAAACAGATACCCAGAATCGCAAAAGCTTTCTCGCCGTTTCAACTTCTTCTCTCTGTGCACCACAACTTTCTTAGCTGTCGCGACTCCCTCTGTCTGAAATCCATCGAAGAAGAGGAACTTACAGCGCAAAACAGAAGAAGAGGAAAAAAAAAGGGAGAATTTACAGAGGAAAAACGGAAAAAAAAGAAGAAGAAGAGGAAACAGAAAAAAGACGATGATGATGAGGAAAAAGAAAGAATAAAAAAGAATAAAAGTTTTTAGTTTTCAAGGCTTCAAAATGGTCTCCTTCGTTTGGAAGTGTCTATAGGTTGATGTGACTGATGGGGAATATGGGTCGAGGGGAGGGGTCACACTCACACCACACATGTTGTGCTTTATGATGTGGGGAAGGATGCATGCACATCTTCATAATTGTCTCTTTATGATTTTTGACCTTAACTTTCAATTGCTATATACGTTTTTGACCGGTTTTGGTGCTCCAAAGTTCGAAGTGGGACACCAACCCAGATAAAATCATAAATAAAAGAGAGGATTTTAGGGATGATACCAATGTGCATGGTTTGGTTAAGGGATGTTTGGCATGGCTTCCTAGTAGTTTTATTATAAACCACCCAACCCACTACGTGGGATTTTTACTTTACTTTTTAAAAATTAGATATAATCATTTAAAATGTTTGGCATATATGCTTAATGTGTTTTTAAATTTTGGACTTATTAGATACTCTTTTTGTATTTTATCATTCATTTATTATCTTATTCATGGATTTCATGCAAGTATAATTTTTTATGTGTCAATATGCACTTATTTACAAGATATATAAGAAATTTAACTAAATCTGCCTAGGCGTTAGGTGTCAGTTCGCCGTCTTACTATCGCCTAGCGTTTTTTAGAACCTTAGTTTATATCTCAATTTTTTCTTCTATCTCCATCACAAGTTAACAATGGTAACTAATCTATGTTGTAGGTATTAAATATGAGTGTATATACTAGTATGGATTATAAGTGTATGGAAGATGGAATTTCTTTGAACTATTTTCATGAATGATAGGTAAATTTATTTTTATTTATTTTTGTATGTACGTAAATACCTCTATCACAAGTTAAATGATTTTATTAACCTATCGTATAAGTATTATTTATGTTGACACATAATTAACTTTTCTTTTTAACTATTTTTATGAAAGTAGTTAGACTTTTTTTTTATTTAAATATTCAAATTAAAAATTTGAGTAAAGACTCATAAAATTAAGAAATTTAATTAAAGTTGAAAAAAAAAAAAAAAACTGGACTAAATTTGAGAACAGCTCAATTTTTTTTATCTAGATCAAATTTATCCGTTTAAATTTAATTAAGTTAGGTATGCTCATGTGTAGTGTTGCTCACCTAATTCTTTGAACCTTGCTAATGCCAGATTGAAAAAATATATGTTCTTGTGGTAATTAACATGCTGATTAATGTCTAATTGTTTATGTTTAATACGTAATTAGGGTTTCGGAGCTTCCTCCGGTGGACATGTTTGTGACAACAGCAGATGCAAAGCTAGAGCCACCTATCATTACTGTGAACACAGTGCTCTCTCTTCTAGCCGTTGATTATCCAACTCACAAGCTAGCTTGCTATGTATCAGATGACGGGTGTTCACCTCTCACTCTCTACTCTCTCGTTGAAGCCTCAAAATTTGCTAAGCTTTGGGTACCCTTTTGCAAAAAGTACCATGTTCAAGTTAGAGCACCATTTAGATACTTCTCTGACAATCCCATTTTGTCAAGTTATAGTCCATCAGGATTCCTTCAAGAATGGACAAAAATGAAGGTAGAATTTGGCCTTATATATTCTTAGTTGAATTTGTATATATGTATGATGTCTCCATCTTTAATCTTGTAGGATGAGTATGAAAAGCTCTGCCAAAAAATTGAAGATGCTGTCCAAAATTTGGCACCTCTGGATTTTTCTAGAGACAATGTGGATTTTGCTCACATAGACAGCAGGAACCATCCCACTATAATCAAGGTTCTTGTTTTTTGTTTTTGGTAATTCACACAAGAAGTAAAGCCTCCCAATAAGTTCATTTCATCGGTAAAGGTAAATTTATATGCAAGATGACCTTTGTGGAGTAGCCATATATAACAGCTCATTATATTCATTATATATGCTCCACAGTTGGTTGACTGACTAATATTGTGGTTCATCTACTTTTCACATCCTGCAACTATTCCTTAAAATTTTAGTACTGAAACCTAAATAAACTTTCTATTGTTAATTTGAATTAATATTTGTACAGGTGATATGGGAGACTAAGGAGAGAATTTCTAATGGTCTACCACATTTGGTTTATGTAGCCAGGGAGAAGCGTCCTAATCACTCACATCATTACAAAGCGGGCGCTATGAACGCTTTGGTGAGAATTATTTGCTTAACTAGGAAAATGTTACCATCTCTCTTTTTAAATACATTTGTTCAATTAGAAAATTACTGTTATCTTAGGCTTAATTAGCTAGTGTAAAATCCATGATTTTACCCAGTGACTAATATTTTTAATTAATTTTATGTACATAGACGAGGGTCTCTGGTGTTATGACAAATGCTCCATTCATGTTGAACGTGGACTGCGACATGTATGCCAACAATCCAAAGATCGTTCTT